GCGCTTTACATAAGAATTTAGAAAATACATTGTCTAAGTTGCTTCCCATGTCAAACAGTTAATTAAATAAGGGAGAAAGCGAAACGATAAGTTAAAAAAAAGTCGTTGACAAAGTAATGTAATAGAAGTCTAAGAATAATGGGGATGTTTTTCAATTAGTTTATCATGTATTAAAACTTATCACCCTGAATATTTTTAAATGCTCATAATATTTAAAATTTGGAATAAAAATTAATCACCAGTTAAAGCCGAAAACAATTATACAATTAAATACTGAACCTGAATACATGCAACAAACTTTATTTAATCAATGTTGTTTCACCATGTTTCACTGTAATAATATTATTTTGCATATTTATTCCCTTATGCAAACCATTGAGTTGAAATGTATGTAAACTAGTTTGATGTTGTTTTGATTGTTTATATTGAAATTAAAAGTACTAACACAGTGTAAAATAATGCCTTGAATAGACCCTCTCTAAACTATCATGATAGAATCACTGTTAGAAAAAAGAAAAAAAAAAACAACTAATATTTTGCCAAAGATTCCCCCACCCCTTCTACCGCTTACCCGTATTGTTATCTTATTACATTAGTACAGTTATCTTATTACATTAGTACAGTTATCTTATTACATTAGTACAGTTATCTTATTACATTAGTACAGTATCTTATTACATTAGTACAGTTATCTTATATCTTTTTACTAAATTTCATTTTTCATGTGAATCTCTATAGGAATCGTTAAGCTGATCCAGGTGTATTTACAGATAGACCACATATGTTTAGTTTTGTTGTTTAGTATAACGTTCATAATATACCCAGATCTGAAGTGAAATGGTTAAGGTACAAGCAACTTGGCATATTATCCCATCATAGGCCAAAGTCATACACATACATACACTCTACATCATCGATGTGCCATAGATTTATATAACTTAATCCCAGGAATACAATTATTTTATGCACAACAATTATGCTATTAGTTCTTCTTTAAACAATTTTATTGTATCACATTTCTCATCTGTCACTTATCACACTACTTTCTTCATTCATTAGCGGCTTTATTTGTGTATATTACTGTAGCTTAATGAAATAAACCTTTTTTTATAATACACATAAACCTTTTTGAAATAAATCTGGATTTTATTTTCCCGGTTCTTAAAATATCAGTATCAGGCTTTTAATTTGTAAGCATGTTGTAAAGGGAAACAACCAAATAAATACAACTTATGACAGGAGTTTGATGTTGCCTCCCGTCTTATATTTTCAGAATTAAATTCAAAACCACAAATTGTGTGGGTTGTCTTATTCCTTAATATTGTGTGTGTGTGTGTATAGGAAGATTTTATTTGTTGAACACTACTGTTTTAAATTACATTTTATTGACAGCCCATATTTGTCGCGCATATCCCCTTAACTTGCTTCCTCTGTTTGTCAGTCGTCAGTCTAGATCGAAACGGTCGTGTGAAATAGCAGGCACTTCTAACTGACAGATAGGGTTCCTAGTTGGGACGTGGGTCAAGACATAAAAACAATGCATCCTGACATTAAATTTGACTTAATTGGATGCCTAATTAATTTTTTTTGAATTAATGAAAATTTGGACCAAATCAGTAGGCATTTCTATAAAACTACTCCACACGCGTTATCACGTTCAATAGGCGCGCAATGGTTTTAGTCATGACACTCTATTGTAAATAAAAGCATGTAAAGTACTAAAAAAATTCATAAATAACGTTTTAATAACAAGCTTGTGTGTACTAATGCACAAAAAAGTAGAAAATAAATTATAGACTATTATTTAAATAACTATAAAGAAAAGCGTGGGCCTCTTCCTAAATATAAGTAAAGGTATCCATTAGAAACTAAAACAGTTATCTAAAACGCAAAATAACGTCTAAAATTCGTTTTCTAACATTGCCCTCCCCCCTACGAATGTGACGTCATTTATGGATGACCCCTAACCTAAAAATTTTAATAACACAACTTCCGAATAGATATAATATCCGGCAAACCCAAGATGTCAAGTGAGTAAAGAGTGAGCAGCAATTTAAGCTAAACTCTCTTTTGCATAAGTCTATGGTAGTTTGTACACCAGTAAAATTATTTATTTTCACAATCGGTAAGAAATAATTCTTCTTAAACATCTAATACAGTATAATCTTGTCTTTATCAATGGTATGAATACTTGATAGCAAAAGTTATCAGAGTAATGAGTCAAATATTATTTAATATTAGACTGTAAAAATGTATCCATGACATATCACTTTACGGGTTTTTGATAGAATAGTTTAATAGTGTGTTGTATTTAACTGCATGAGTTATTATATAAACTAAACTTTGTTTAAAGTTTTACAGCATACATTATCCCAATTGATAATAATATAATAATTTATAGCAACTTTTGTTTTAAAGATGGCGTATTTTACTTCCTCGTAGTATATTCATTATTGGGAACTCCCAAATCTATTTTTTATTAGGGGGTTTGACCATAGGGGCTTTGTCCATAGGGGGTTTGACCAAAGTGGGGCTTTAACCACAAATGGGGGTTAACCATAATATAAATTTTAAAATATAAATTAGAAACTGTTATTTGATTTAAATTTATTGTACATTTCATACGATTTTATACATGTTTCCTGATAGTCCTTTAATTAAAATTAACATGTATTTAAAAAAGTCAATAACGATAATTTAGTCTCCACATGAAGGCTAGTGCTAGGCGTCATAGATTTTTTAAAGAATAAATGGAACACAAATAATGAGACATAAAAAGTTTCACAAATAAATAATGTAGATGTGCCTAAAAATACATATCACACATTAAGGATAAAAAAATCATGCCAACAGCATAGTCATAGAAGTAATACTTGTATGGTTAACATCTTTGTGACCATATGTCCGAACAGTTCGTTATAATGTTTCGTGCAACATTCTGTATAGCTTCTCAGCTGGGTAGCTTGCTCCTGCGACACCTTTTAAGAAAGTTGTCTTTTGCCGTGTGCAGTCCATCTGTAGACCTTCAAGAAAACGCCACATTGCTTGGTGACTACATTGGAGCGGAGACTAAAGACTGTAATGCCATCCTTCACAAATGTAATTTGTTCGTGCCACACCATCGCCAATCTTGTGTATTTCAGTCGCATATTTTTAAATTAATCCGTACCATATTATATGGACAAAGCACTTGGTATTAAACGCCTGCATTGGACAAACCACCTGTGATCAAAGACCCTCTGCTTAGAAAACACCTGTGTTCAAACCCCCTGTGGTCAAAGCCCCTATGGTCAAAGCCCCGTTATGACTAAAGCCCCGCTGTTGCCAAAGCCCCTATGGTCAAAGCCCCTATGGTCAAAGTCCCTCTGTGGTCAAACCACCTGTGGTCAATCCCCCTATGGTTTAAGCACCTGTGGTCAAAGGTCCGCGCATCATTATGACTTTAAAGTGGAACCAAAAAAATTAAAATGTGCCTGGGCACTCAATGATAGAAATTGAACATAGGTCTTCTATTATAGAACGTACATCTATCAATGGACTCAATCGAAAAGGTATTATTTATTTCTTTAAATGAGCACTCTGGCTTTAATGTTTAGCCATATCAGCATACAGTTTTAGTACAGTTACACCCAATCTCAATTTCATTTTATTTTAGAGCATTTGTTTTTCATGTGTTATTGTGAGTTTGTTTATGTGTGTGATTTGAGAATATGATAAAGCCTTAAAAATATGTGTATCTGCTGTTAGTCCTAGTCCAACTATATACCTCAAATTCAGTGTCAGTATGATGAGAGAAAATAAGTATAAATAATTGTTTACACGCTTGAAACATAACTCAGGCATTAAGGGGTTAAAGCCCTATGTTGGCATTTTGTAAAATATAATTTACAAACGTCCAAACATCTGAGTGATCTACACATTAATTCGGAAACATACAATGTTTCAAATATAATATTACATTTACAATATCAAATTAGCCTGACTTACTATAAAAACGTTAGTAAATTATTCTTGTTATTCATACATACATTTATACATTTTCCATATTTACACAACAGTACAGTATAAAAAATTAGATTTTCTATTACCTTCAAATGAAGCCACACAATCCTCTACACACGCTGCCAAAAAGTAAGATAAATTTCTCCGTGAGGAACAAGTGCCGCGGAACCAAAATATGTATAATTTTGCTATGGCAAGTACCTCAGCACCAAAAGAAACGTAAACCTCCGAAGAGGGGAGAAGTTAGAATGACCGGACTGTGGTGTCCCTACCCTACTCGTCACATGACTTAGGTTTGGCTCTAATGACCGCAGTCCGAGGTCGAGGCCCGGTCAGCCTTACGATACCGCTGGACTCAGGTCCAGGTGTGTACCGTTACCTGTGGGGTAGCGAGAACAGGAAGGGAGAGAGACATTGTTAGATATTTATAATCTATCATAAGGGTATTAAAACTGTTAGCAGGAAATTAATTGTTAATTTAAAATAAAATGTGATAATACAAAAAAAAACAACAAATATTTTTAAAAGTATGTTCGAAATATATATACTATTTTTTTTTCCATTTTCAGATTAGAAGTGCGTAAAAAGAACGTGTAACACTCTCTATTAATTTGTATTCAAAACGTTTCTTTAATTAAAATAATGCAAGCAAAAATGACGGGAATTTGAAAATTGACGACTTTTCAAAGTAAGAAATTCTATTTGAAACAAAAAATGTTTTAACATATGTTGAAAAATGATAGAAACAACGCATCAAATAGTGCTTCTTCTAGAGGTTATACACGCGTTGTAAATTCCTAATTTAGAAAGTGCAGATATTGCGATTATTACATATTTCATAAATGCATTCATGGAAGCTTGTTTAATTGGAAATACAGAGACTTAAAATGTTAATCGACACAAGATTGTAATAACAAAGAGACGGATACTAAAAGAAATATTGTGTTTATTATTGGCCTGTGAAGCTGGACACGTCAGTACTTGAGAATAAAGCAAGTATGACAGAAGAAGACAATAAACGACATAACGCTTTAGTCCGTCCTGCGTGTAGTGGTCAGACTGAAGATGTTAAATTTCTTATTGAGAAAGGCGCTGATATTAATTGGGTCAATACATTTAAAAGAAATGCATTAATGGAAGCCAGTTTTATGGGACATACAAAAACTGTCGAATTTTTACTGACACAAGATTTTAATATCCAACAGAGGGATAATGATGGAAATAGTGCGTTATTATTGGCTTGTAAAGCTGGACACCTCAGTACTGTTGAATTACTTTTACAACATAAAGCAAGTCTGACTGAAGTAGACAATAACGAATATAACGCTTTACTACAAGCTGCATGGCAAGGTCACACAGATGTTGTTAAATTTCTTATTGAGAAAGGCGCTGATATTAATTGGGTACATAAATTTAAAAGAAATGCATTAATGGAAGCCAGTTTTATGGGACATACAAAAACTGTCGAATTTTTACTGACACATGATTTCAATATTCAACAGACAGATAATGATGGATATAGTGCGTTATTAATGGCTTGTGCACATGGACACCTCAATACTGTTGAATTACTTTTACAACATAAAGCAAGTCTGACTGAAGTAAATAATAAAGGATATAACGCTTTACTAATAGCTGCATGGGGCGGTCACACAGATGTTGTTAAATTTCTTATTGAGAAAGGCGCTGATATTAATTGGGTCAATAAATTTACAAGTAATGCATTAATGGAAGCGAGTTTTAAGGGACATACAAAAACTGTCGAATTTTTACTAACACACGATTTTAATATTGAACACAAAACAGTGAATGGTTACACAGCGTTATTGCTTGCCTGTGAAGCTGAACACCTCAGTACTGTTGAATTACTTTTACAACATAAAGCAAGTCTGACTGAAATAAATAATAAAGGATATAACGCTTTACTAAGAGCTGCATGTAAAGGTCACACAGATGTTGTTAAATTTCTTATTGAGAAAGGCGTTGATATTAATTGTATCAATACATTTAAAAGAAATGCATTAATGGAAGCCAGTTTTAAGGGACATACAAAAACTGTCGAATTTTTACTAACACAAGATTTTAATATCCAACAGACGGATAATAATGGAAACAGTGCGTTATTATTGGCTTGTGAAGCTGGACACATCAGCACTGTTGAATTACTTTTACAACATAAAGCAAGTCTGACTGAAGTAAATAATAAAGGATATAACGCTTTACTAATAGCTGCATGGGGCGGTCACACAAATGTTGTTAAATTTCTTATTGAGAAAGGCGCTGATATTAATTTGGTCAATACATTTAAAAGAAATGCATTAATGGAAGCCAGTTTTATGGGTCATACAAAAACTGTCGAATTTTTACTAACACACGATTTTAATATCCAACAGACGGATAATAATGGAAACAGTGCGTTATTATTGGCTTGTGAAGCTGGACACCTCAGTACTGTTGAATTACTTTTACAACATAAAGCAAGTCTGACTGAAGTAAATAATAATGGATATAACGCTTTAATATACGCTGCATGGGGCGGTCACACAGATGTTGTTAAATTTCTTATTGAGAAAGGCGCTGATATTAATTGGGTAAATACATTTAAAAGAAATGCATTAATGGAAGCCAGTTTTAATGGAAATACAAAAACCGTCGAATTTTTACTAACACAAGATTTTAATATCCAACAGACGGATAATGATGGAGATAGTGCGTTAATATTGGCTTGTAAAGCGGGACACCTAAGTACAGCTGATTTACTTTTACAACACATAGCCAGTCTTACTGAAGTAAATAATGGATATAACACATTACTAAGAGCTGCATGGGGCGGTCACACAGAAGCTGATAAATTTCTTATTGAGAAAGGCGCTGATATTAATTTGGTTAATACATTTAAAAGAAATGCATTAATGGAAGCCAGCTTTATGGGACATACAAAAACTGTCGAATTTTTACTAACACAAGATTTTAATATAGAACAAAAAGCTGTGAATGGTGACACAGCGTTATTGCTTGCCTGTCAAGCTGGACACATTAGCACTGTTGAGTTACTTTTACAACATAAAGCAAGTCTGACTGAAGTAGATAATGAAGGATATAACGCTTTACTAAGAGCTGCAGGGAGCGGTCACACAGATGTTGTTAAATTTCTTATTGAGAAAGGCGCTTATATTAATTGGGTCAATACATTTAAAAGAAATGCATTAATGGAAGCCAGTTTTAAAGGACATGCAAAAACTGTGGAATGTTTACTAACACTTAATTTCAATATTCAACAGACGGATAATAAAGGAAACAGTGTGTTATTATTGGCTTGTGAAGCTGGACACCTCAGTACTGTTGAATTACTTTTGCAACATAAAGCAAGTCTGACTGAAGTAGATAATGAAGGATATAACGCTTTGCTAAGAGCTGCATGGGGTGGTCACATAGATGTTGTCAAATTTCTTATTGAGAAAGGCGCTGATATTAATTGGGTCAATACATTTAAAAGAAATGCATTAATGGAAGCCAGTTTTAAAGGACATGCAAAAACTGTGGAATTTTTACTAACGCATGATTTCAATATTCAACAGACGGATAATAAAGGAAACAGTGTGTTATTATTGGCTTGTGAAGCTGGACACCTCAGTACTGTTGAATTACTTTTGCAACATAAAGCAAGTCTGACTGAAGTATATATTGATGGATATAACGCTCTACTTAAAGCTGCATGGGGCGGTCACACAGATGTTGTTAAATTTGTTATTGAGAAAGGCGCTGATATTAATTGGGTCAATACATTTAAAAGAAATGCATTAATGGAAGCCAGTTTTATGGGTCATACAGACACTGTCAAATTTTTACTAACACAAGATTTTAATATTGAACAAAAAGCTGTGAATGGTGACACAGCGTTATTGCTTTCCTGTCAAGTTGGACACATTAGCACTGTTGAATTACTTTTACAACACAAAGCAAGCCTGACTGAAGTAAATAATAATGGATACAACGCTTTACTAAGAGCTGCATGGGGCGGTCACACAGATGTTGTTAAATTTCTTATTGAGAAAGGCGCTGATATTAATTTGGTCAATACATTTAAAAGAAATGCATTAATGGAAGCCAGTTTTATGGGACATACAAAAACTGTCGAATTTTTACTAACACAAGATTTCAAAATCCAACAGTCGGATGATGATGGAAATAGTGCTTTATTAATGGCTTGTAATGCTGGACACCTCAGCACTGTTGAATTACTTTTACAACACAAAGCAAGCCTGACTGAAGTAAATAATAATGGATATAACGCTTTACTTAAAGCTGCATGGGGAGGTCACACAGATGTTGTTAAATTTCTTATTGAGAAAGGCGCTGATATTAATTTGGTAAATACATTTAAAAGAAATGCATTAATGGAAGCCAGCTTTTTGGGACATACAAAAACTGTCGAATTTTTACTAACACAAGATTTTAATATAGAACAAAAAGCTGTGTATGGTGACACAGCGTTATTGCTTGCCTGTCAAGCTGGACACATTAGCACTGTTGAGTTACTTTTACAACATAAAGCAAGTCTGACTGAAGTAGATAATGAAGGATATAACGCTTTGCTAAGAGCTGCATGGGGTGGTCACATAGATGTTGTCAAATTTCTTATTCAGAAAGGCGCTGATATTAATTGGGTCAATACATTTAAAAGAAATGCATTAATGGAAGCCAGTTTTAAAGGACATGCAAAAACTGTGGAATTTTTACTAACGCATGATTTCAATATTCAACAGACGGATAATAAAGGAAACAGTGTGTTATTATTGGCTTGTGAAGCTGGACACCTCAGTACTGTTGAATTACTTTTGCAACATAAAGCAAGTCTGACTGAAGTATATATTGATGGATATAACGCTCTACTTAAAGCTGCATGGGGCGGTCACACAGATGTTGTTAAATTTGTTATTGAGAAAGGCGCTGATATTAATTGGGTCAATACATTTAAAAGAAATGCATTAATGGAAGCCAGTTTTATGGGTCATACAGACACTGTCAAATTTTTACTAATACAAGATTTTAATATTGAACAAAAAGCTGTGTATGGTGACACAGCGTTATTGCTTTCCTGTCAAGCTGGACACATAAACACTGTTGAATTACTTTTACAACACAAAGCAAGCCTGACTGAAGTAAATACTAATGGATACAACGCTTTACTAAGAGCTGCATGGGGCGGTCACACAGATGTTGTTAAATTTCTTATTGAGAAAGGCGCTGATATTAATTGGGTCAATACATTTAAAAGAAATGCATTAATGGAAGCCAGTTTTATGGGACATACAAAAACTGTCGAATTTTTACTAACACAAGATTTCAATATCCAACAGTCGGATGATGATGGAAATAGTGCTTTATTAATGGCTTGTAATGCTGGACACCTTAGCACTGTTGAATTACTTTTACAACACAAAGCAAGCCTGACTGAAGTAAATAATAATGGATATAACGCTTTACTTAAAGCTGCATGGGGAGGTCACACAGATGTTGTTAAATTTCTTATTGAGAAAGGCGCTGATATTAATTTGGTAAATACATTTAAAAGAAATGCATTAATGGAAGTCAGTTTTATGGGTCATACAAAAACTGTTAAGTTTTTACTTACAGTAGGGTGTAATATCCAACAGACGGATAATGAAGGGAGAAATGCATTCGAACTGTGTGTCAGTAAGAACCCAATCTCGATCAAGACATTCGCTGCACTAATTGACGTTGAAAAAATCAAATATTATAAAAATGTGGATATTTGTTTTCATTTACTTTACAATAAAGTTCTTCTTAGTGGTATGTATTCTTTTTTTTTATTATTTTCAATTAATGTCAGTTCTTAGTGTTTACAGAGAGAGAACCGTTCGTAGTATTTACATTGTAGAGCATATCAAAGGAACACTAAACTCCTGAGTTCGGATAATCAACTTACAGAAAAAAAATATACTGATAGCAGCTATCGAATTTCTACAGTGTTAAAAGTTTTAATAAGCTCACCATTTAAAGTTAAAATAAAACAGTTTTTTGATACTGTTTGTTTTGTTTTAATTATTATTTTTAGTTCTCATCATCTGTATACACCTCAATTGGGTTATTTTTTCCAGGGGGTTTATATCGCGGTTTTTTTTGTCCTGATGGTTTATGTTGCTGTGGGGGGGGGGGGGGGGGGTTCCAGGGGGTTTATTCATTGGTTTGTTAAAACTATCGAAACCTATAGAGGTAAATAAATAAAAAGCATGTAAATGTCAGCTGAAACTTATGCCTAATAATTTGACGGAGAATATACTTACATATTTCTTAAAAACAAATATAAAAAATAATAAATAGCTAGTGTCCTAATAAAATCAAACAATCTTTGTGTTACTTTAGTAGCTTAAATAGAAATTAAAGTAGAATGTTTTGACAAACGTTTAACTAAAAGATTATGTACTAGCCACAAATAGCCATAAAGCCTCTTTGTCTACTTCTATTGCCTACATAAACAAAACGTAAGGGAAAACTAGAAGTCTATGGATATGCATTTTTTTAAATAACACGCTTAATAAACAATTTGTTTCTAATTTAGATTAAACGTTATCTATAATACCACTATTAATATGGTCGAATTCAGAGTTTCTTTTAGGCAACTCTTCGAGGGGTGAAGTAGAACGTCTACCGCCCTCAAAAATAAATAAATAAATAAATATATATATATATATATATATATATATATATATATATATATATATATATATATATATATATAAAATATAGTTTTACCAGTTTCCGCCCATCCCACGAAAATTTCAAGTAACCTCTCCGCACCCCTGGGGAGAAAAATGTCTGTAGATCCAACACACTAAAGATAGACAATTTTTCTGTGATCTAGTGTTTCTTTGTGACTTTTTTCGGGGTATGGGGCTGAAACTGGTAAAAGTCCATATGTTCGATATATTTCGTTCAGGGGGGGGGGGGGGGGGGATGAGGGGAACAGCTTTTTAATCCTATGTTTACTCTAGATTAAATGACGTCATTTTAATTTTGTGCTTTAGATTTTATCATGTTATTTTGTTTCGTTTAGAAAATTTCCTTTATGATCCATTTGACGTCACGGTTGTGGAAAGTTTCGTTTTCCGTTTAACTGTGAACGTTTTTATTTTGCTTGTGTTTTTTTTATAGTTAATTTAATATATAGAGATGTTTTAACCCATTTTACAAAGATATATAGACGCTTGTATATCATAATATTAACTAATTAGAAAATCTGTTTCAACTATCAGCTGGAATTTATATTCTTTATGTTCTGGAATAATAGGCATTTAGGCTGTTAAACCGAAAACCACGAGTGGGGAAGTGGGTTCAAATCAATAGAAATTATTAAAGTTAATATAGCTGTGACCTAAGTCACGTTATAGAAAGTAAAGGCGGATAAGCACTATGCTAACCACACTATTCCAATATATTCATATTTCTATACACATTCAATATAACTTATGACAAATAATTACAGACGAAAACAATATATATATATATATATATATATATATATATATATATATATATATATATATATATATATATATATACTAGCCGTCCCGGCCAGGCCCTGCTCTGGCTTCTGTGAAAAACCTTTCTGTTAAAGACCATTACCTGTGTGGTTAGTAATCATCATCAACCCGGCATTGCCCACCCAAACCACAACCAACCAAAACAACAAAACGCAAACATAACGCTAACACAATTACAAATACAAACGAAAACAAAAACCTAACAACAAACCCAACCACAACCACAAACACCAATACAAACACAAAGAAAAAACAAACAAAAAAGCATACGAAAACAAAAACCTAACAACAAACCCAACCACAAACACCAACACCAACACAAAAAAAAACAACGAAAAAGCAAACGAAAACAAACCAAATCCAAACGCAAAACCAACCAAAAACACAAATACAAACCCAAACAAAAAAACACAAACAAAAACGAAAAAAGAAAGAACAAAAACGAACCAAATCAAAACGCAACCACTAACGCAAACCCACCTAAACACCAAGAAAACACTAACGCGAACATAAACGCCCGGGGCGGAATCACCTGTTTTAGCTTAATGAACGACTATAGTACCCCAACTTATTCATAGTCTTTTGCACTCACTTTAACGAACGCGCCTGTTTCAATTTAATGAACAATTATAATACTCCAAGCTTATCCGTAAAATACCTACAACATTTGCACTTGATCAATCCCCGCTAATTATGTAATTTTTTTTTCCCAACACCAAAACAAAGTAATTAAAAAGTAAATTCTTTTCCACAAAATGCAATGGTTTTATAAAGGGAAGTAATTGTGTTTTCCTAATTTATCAAAGGGAAGTAAGTGCTATAGGACTAAATAAAGAAATAATTAGAATTTTTGTAAAAGTTGATATTTTTTTAAAACTTGTGTTTAATGAACATGCCGCCAATTGTTACTATAATTTGAAAAATGAAAATTATTTCCCAACACTTTCAATAGTAATTTTTTAACTCATAAATTTAGACAAATGCGCACGATAATTGTCTAACACTTAAATCCACCCAAGACCAACGACAAACAAATGCGTTACATACAGAACTAAGCTTTAATTATTAGATATATATATATATATATATATATATATATATATATATATATATATATATATATATATATATATATATATAGTTATCTACATGGGGACTATCCGTGACACCACCCAGTAAAGGCTTAGCCGTTCCTACCCCGCCCCCTAGGCACATCGCTACCACCCACCAGTCTGGTGAGTTGTGGTTCACCCCGAATGTTTACAATATAACGGCTATTAGGGGCAGATAATTTAGAGTGTGGACAGTTTGAAATGAATGAGTAAAGAAGTTTTGCTTGATCTTTTCATTGACGTCTGTAAACTGTCGTCATAGACGGCTGATTTCACGGGGAAGGGGGTGGTGGGGCGAAGCGGGAGGAGGTGGGGGGGGGGGGGGGAAAGAGAGGATAAAGTCGAATTCACAAATCACGAATTACTGAAAAGTGAAAAATAAACAACTAAATAGCGGCGTGTGCTTACATCGCGGATCAGCTCGTATAAATAAATAGAATATGTTTTTTTAGATAACATTTTAAAACATGTATTTGACAAGGCGGCGGGGCGATTCCATAGGAAATCAACATAACCCCAGCCCTAGCCCCAGCCCTAGCCTTAGCCCTAGCCCTAGACCTAGCCCTAGCCCTAGCCCTAGCCCTAGCCCTAGCCCTAGCCCTAGCACGACCCCTTGCCATAGCCCTCAACATTAACGTAAACCATAATCTTTCCGCTTTCTAATTTCGTGTCAGGCTAAAATTGTATTTCCTTTAATATCCGGTTTTAGTTTAAATGCCGTTTTATCATAAAATTCCATTTTGGTTAAATTTCTTACATATTAAAGTTCTAAATTTCGATGTCCTGCTAAATTTACGAATCCGGTAAAAGTGTCGATTACATATAAATTTCCCTTTAAATTAATTTTTTGTCATATTAAATTACGGGTTCTGTGTAAATTTCCGCATCCATCTTGTTTAAATTTTTAAGATCCGGATAAAATACTCGTTCTGGTTAACTAGCAATTTTCAAAGAAATTTTGTTTTCTGTTACATTTCTCCCGTTTCAGAATGAATTTTCGTATTTGGGTAATATGTTTGGATCTGTTTAAAATGCAGATTCGGGATACAGATCCGTTTTCAATAAAAAAAATTCATTTCCAGTTCTAATTGAGGTTGAGTATGGGAATTTAGTTTTGGTTTCAATTTAGAGATAAAAACACAACTGTTAAGCTAGCGCCCGTTGTATTTCTCCTTTGACGGGGCATTTATCTAGTTTTAGATATGTGGATGAATAAATATGAGTATGTTCTTTTTAAACTAATATAATCTTTTTAATTGGCGTGTTTTTTGTTGTTTTTCTTCATGTGAAATAAAAGCACAAAATTATGATTATTTCCTAATCAAATTTCTAAATTGTATTGATTCTAATCGCCCCCCCCCCCCGAAAATGTAATAAATATTGTATTTGTATCTATGTAGGGAAATGGCCAAAGAAATTCTCAACTTCCCTTTCTAGAACAGTTCAGTTTGACAAGATAATTAGGTAAAGTATAGATGCTAATAAACCAAACCACGTTACATGCCTAATATGTTTACATTGATAACATAACTCGCACATTTTTAGCCTTTTAACTTTTTCAACAAGTATTTGCTACTACGTAAGCTATTAAGTACACATTATAATAATGAGAATATGACAAATATATTTCAATTTTTTAAATTTTTCTATATAAAGTGTAGATGATGTAATGTGATCGTGAAAAAAACGCCGTTTTATTCGTCCTTGAGTTATAAAAAAAATTAGGTTTGCAATTTTATTTGTATGTGTGCCTATTGTTGAACACGATAACTTGAGTACCGTTTCGGTTATGTTAACGAAATGTTATATACAATTATTATCTCAAACTTGCTGTATTGTGGCAAATTTTGAACGGTTTCCGAAAGTGGTACTTAAACTACTTTCGTTTTCACCAAATTCAATAACTAGAATACTGTTGCACTTAGGTGTAACACATTTTACACGCAATGAATACTTTATATGCGCATTTGTGTATTACATTTTGACCGATGTCAGGAAACGTGAAGTAGTACGCTTTCCTTGTAAACACTATAACTTGAGTGTTATTTCAGTTAGGTAGACACAATTTCATATATAAGAATAAGAACTTATTCTTGGATAACTAGCAAACAAAATTGGTACTTTATTTTTGTTTTTTTTTAAATACCGATAACTCGGTACCGTTTCATGTCATGTAGGTTTGACTACATTTTAACAAGAGTATAATATCCTATTCTTTTGGTTTACTAATGTTTAATAATTTCCGGTAACTGATAGTGGTACTTTAGGCTACTTCCGATTTTTCAAAAATGATCATTTCTACGGGACCAATTTCTTAAAAACATTTTACGTAGGTCTAGGCTGGATGATAATTCGTTGTAACATAATATTTAACTAAATTAGATGATTAATATAAATTTCACAAAAAATACATAATAGAGACATCGAATAAGTTTTATTTAGGACAAATATATCTTTCGTGATGCAAACTGCGTTTGATCAAGAGCAAATATATTATTAGATGTACTGATCAGTAAACCAATTGTGTGTAGGTGTAATAGATGTATAATTTGTGTGTATATTTGATAATAATGTAACACATTGATTTTAAACTTTTTCACAGGATTTTAAAAGACACGCAAGTGGATTCTGTAAGTAGGCCCATAAACTGCAAAAGAAGAGGCCCTACATGTGAATTATTTTTATTAAAAATGAACAATTTTAAGTTACATGACAACATACATATTAATCGATGTCTTTGACACAATTTGTCAGGCAAAAATACTAGGAAAAAAATTCATCATCTAATATATAATATCCAGACTACATGTAGAAGTTAAACCATCTCAGAACACCCGTGATAAAAATTTTAAGATAAAATATGATTAAAAAATTTAATAGAATAGCATTGGCTCTCGATATAAATGTTGATACCACAAAGCCAATGTAAAAAAAAAACAAAAACAAACACGTATCAGACTTTTTGAAAAAATGCTTTTTAATAAACTATAGACAAAAATAATATAAAGCTGCCTGCAGTAGTTCTGGTTGCCATGAAAACCAGGAAATGGTTTGAAAATATCCACATTTTCAAACATCTATTACTTTGCTCGCAAAACATAATTCTAACATGATTTTAGATTAGAATTCCTCATAGTAGTCAACATATTACAGCTTTATTTCATTTTGACAGCTAGCTTAAATAATTTAAAGTAATTGTTTTCGTAAAACAATGTGAAAAAATACGGATGATGCTACATCAATTTTACTTAAAGCACACGTAAATTAAAGATAGTAAAATGACAAAAGCAAGTAAAAAGTTTCAGTCTTGTATGACTTTACGATTTAATTTTGAGTTATGTTTAAATATGCAAGGTTGAGATAGGCCTACTTTTCACCAAACCATAACATATTTTAAATTAGTTGTTGGTAATCCCTACACGAATCACAAGTCATATTCGTTAATACATCTGTCGTTTACAGTCGGATGTATGGTGCTTGATGATAAATTTGACTTTCTAGAAAGCATCTTTGATTTATCATGGTTTAAAACATATGAAAAGAGCAGCGTATCTAATTTTATGAGGCAATATAAAACGTTATACAAGTTCAAAGATAGCCACTTTCTGCATAATAGTGCAATATTTAATGGATCAATTTTATCTACACAATAAAAGAATACCTTTGGTTTTGAAATTCTAAATGTTTCGGAACTGATAGCTAATTTGTTTTACTATCTAATAATGAAATTAAAAAATATAAAATGAGAAAAAAATGATTTATTATCGTCGAAATCATCAGTATATTCCATCATTAACCCTTAACTGTCAGAAAATGTCATCGTTACTCGTGACACAATCCTTTACTTAAACTGTAAGTGTAAAGCACGCTGTTTCCAGTTCAAGGAAATATTCTTACAACAGATAAAAAGTTTAGTTTATTGTTTCTTTTTATGACTGAAACAATAAGTACAACACTTTCTTCAACATAAGCATGTACAGTTTATTGAGTATTGTAATCCATAATTATATTGATTTATGGGAAAGTCCCAAAAGTCTCGAGTTCGAATGCGGCTTCAAATCAGAATGAGTCTTCTACGTAGCTCTGATAATATGATAATAGGAAAAGTAAAGGCGACTGATCAAAGTGCTGACTACACTATCCCTTTAAATGCCGAGTTGTATACGTTAGATGAACTATACTTCATCTGCCACATTATGTGATTCTATTTATTAATGTTTATTCATGTTTTATTATCTAAAACAAAACGAGGAAATACTAAACGTGCTTTATTTTTGAAAAGCTAATTAAATGTACATAATTTATAATAAAAAAGCATTTTGAGGGGCGTCATATTTTAGCATGTAAAAAGTATGCTTTGCGGAAGAGAAATTCATGAAATGTGTGGCTTGTGATGAACAATTTAAAAATAGCACTCAAAAGCGGTATAGGGATTTTACATGTATATAGAAGCATGCAATATTTGGATATAAACATTGAAAAAACAAGGTAATTAAAAAGTCTAGTGACAATTTTAGCGCAATTTCCTTATGTTATCTAAAAATAGCTCTGTCGTAGCGAAAATCAAGAGCAGGGTTAGTAAAACCATTGGTTAGTTATTAAAACGTTTTTTATTATTTTTTTTCAGTATTTTACATGTTTTATGTACAATAGAGTTACATGACTAAAAACCATTGCGCGCCTACAGAACGTGATGGCGCAGCCATGGAACGCGATGGAGCAGCTATTGAACGTGATGACGCGTGTGGTGTGGTTGGAAAAAATGCCTACTAATTCGGTCCAAATTTTAATTAATTCAAATTTTTTTTTGTGACCGAACGAAAGGATATTTTTGAAAACTTTCTTCGGCAATATTGTTCTAAATTATGGCAGGAATCGATTGGTACATGTTTCAAGTCGCTTAGTGGTCTGGTTGCCGAGATATGTGCCAAAAACTGCATTTTTTCGAGGTTTTTTGGCTTTCCCGGGAAATCCATGAAAGAAACCCGTAATTTTTATGGCCTATGTTCATCCTCGTAACTTGCTTAACATAATTGCTTTTGGAACTAGTCATCGATATTGCTTCGTTGAGGAGGAGATACGACTTAAAGCCCGGACACACATTCATCCATACATTCATACATTCATTCATCCATCCATTCCCAGAAATGACGAGTTAATAAACGCAATTCTCCAGAATGGAAATTGCGCTAAAAATTAACATGAATAATATATACATATACTATTGTGAGCATCAAAAATGCATGCTTAATCGAAACTATTTTTAAAAATTATTTACATAATTCTAAATGTCGCTTTTACCAGAAACCTTTTGACATTTTATGCATATAGATTACCTATGTATTTGTTTTAGTTACAATTAAAGAAAGATGTTTTATAACTGCATGAAAAGAAAAACTAAAATTTTTTTTAAATTTTACAACAATTGAACAAACAGGGCGTTAGATTTTTCATGCATATTTTAATTAGTATATTCTTTTTCTGGAACGTATTACATAATTATTGCTAAAACACATATTGTGAAATTTTATTATTAAAGGACATACCAATAGAGCAGCTACGACAACTGATCAAAGATGTGATGGCTATATTTGTGAAAACAAAAGAATTCACGTTGCTTGAGTTTTATGTGCTACAAAAATGCTTTGAAGTTGCATCCAACATCATGAAAGCTAAATCTATAGAAGACTGCACACTAATAGGAAACGATCTGGCTGATTTAAAATTTGCAGGTCTCTCTCTCTCTCTCTCTTTTCATCTCTCTCTCTTCTTGCACACGTACATACACACGCAAATACAAAACGTGATATATGTATATATATATATATATATATATATATATATATATATATATATATATATATATATATATATATATAAATGTTACCGAGTCTATTTGCTTGTAGTGCCAAATGTTACCGATTTCACTGCTGACAGAGCCAAGTGTTACCGAGTGTATTTGCTCGTGCTACCTTTGACCAGCACACAACATCGACCACAATATAGATACTCGGAAATGCAGGTTTACATTGATCTCTTTATTACATGAATCAATAGAAATGCTCCACATAACAATGCATCAATGTTCCATAAGAATACAATGAACCAACTGACCCCCACTGTCCTCACTAGTCCTCACATAACAGAATGCACGTGTCCATAATTCCTATCCTCACATAACACAATACGTCTACCCCGTTCAGTAACCAACTTGATACTGCCCCTAACACGTCTCTACAGTTCGGCTTTTCCTTCTAAACTCTCGCCTTCCCATATATCCCTTGTATTCGTAATCGTATTCGTAATCGTATTCGTAATCGTATTCGTAATCGTATTCGTAATCGATTCTAATCGTTGCATCAGAATATTAATTGCGCAGCTCTGTCGTACAGTCCGATTATTAGACCACCTGCACTATTACGTCAGACTGTGACTGCGCAGCGGCTTTGTCGTATTGCTTCCCAAAATACGCCGTGGCTTATCAGTCCAACACCTGTTGCATCAGACTGTAATACGTTCTTACAATAGTATGGTAACTACCCTAGTTACATCCACCCCCGCCTTTTTTTGTGTGTTTTCAACCACAAACAACGCTTGGCAGGTGCACTCCTTCAATGTCAAGCGCAACACCGTAAAAAAAATTTATTGTTCCACTCACTGTCAATGTCGTCACATTCGTATAAGATTGACAGTTATCCCCATTTCACATATCAAATGTGTCTACATCATATTCCTCAGACACAAAGCAGTTCTAGAATTCACATCCACCTCCGCCTTTTTTCGTTTGGTGTCTTCACCAGTTCACTTTGATAGCTTTTGAACAGTCTGTTCTCATCCCAGCGCGACCATGAAAGAATTGATGGTTGCTGACGAAAAATTTCGTATTCTTTCTGTTTCTCAAACTTCTCCGCGGACCACTTATCTGCTGTTCTAATGTCTCTCTGCTTCTGGGAGGAACGGGATCCTCATTGTTGCCGTTATCCTCCACTTGTGTATCGCTGTTGTGCTGTTGATGGTGACATGGTTCCGGGATGGGTATGAGAATTTCCGTTGTAGTTTCCGGTTCCCTAATTGTCTTAGGTTTCTTTGTGTATAAATGCTCTTCTTGACTATGCCAATATTTCTTTAATTGAGCAATATTCGCCCACCGATCCGGTTTGGTGTGATTGGTGGGTCTTATTTTAAAGGGGCCACCTGCTACTTTAGGCATCTCCACGACTTGCCATATCTCCTGTCCCCAGCGGTCGTGGATTTTGTTTCTGCCTAATGGGTGGCTACGCAGTAATACTTTGTCGTTTAGTTGGAGTGGCGGGTCTTTTGTCTGTACCGGCGGTTCCCTTCGCCGTGCTTCATGTTCAAGTCTTCCTTGTACCACCCTGTACATTTCTCTTATTCGTCTCATATGTTCATTCACATATTCCAGTGCGGTGTATGAGCCAGTCATACTTTCCTTTTTTCCTAGGAACAAGTCAAGAGGGAGTCGAGCCTCCCGTCCGAACCGTAACATGTGTGGCGAAAAGCCGGTTGTGGCATGGGGGGTGCAGTTGTATAGATATACCAACTCTGGGAGAAAATCAGGCCAACGTTTTTTCTGTTCAGGTTCTAGAGTACGCAGCAAATCATGCATGCTGCGGTTGAACCGTTCGCACTGTCCGTTTCCTTTAGGATTATATGTGGTTGTTCTAGATTTGTTGATCCCGTAGTGGCTGCACAGTTGGTTAATTACTTCTGACTCGAAGGCCCTTCCTTGGTCAGAGTGTAATTGTATTGGTATGCCATATTTGGTGAACCAGTGTTCTATTAAGACCTTTGCCACTGTTTTGGCCGTCTGATCTCGTGTGGGCACCGCGACAGTCCATTTGGTGAATGCGTCAGTCATCACCAACACATGTTCCGTCCCATCCGATGATTGCTCCAACGACGTTAAGTCCATAGCCACAATCTCTAGTGGTTTTGTCGCCAGTAGGTGTCCTGATGGCTGTCTCATTTTGACAACTGGCACTTTCGCATGCTGACACCTAACACAAGCCTCACAATGGCGTTTGACCTCCATCTCCATATTGGGCCAGTAGCACTGCCGTCGTAATATTTTGTGCGTCCTGTCCTGACCCTGGTGTCCCGCCCTGTCATGTGCCAACTTTAGCACTTCTTCTCGTAACTGTCCAGGCACCACCACCTGGTGTATTGTCCCGTCTATTTGGTCATGAATTCTCCGCATGAGAACACCATCTTTTATACTGAGACGGTCCCACTGACTCAGTAGTTTCTTTGTTTCCCGACCAAACTGTTCTCTTTCTCTTCTTCTTGGGAATTTTTGTTCCTGGACGTATTTCAACAGCGAATGTAACCCACTATCCGTTCTCTGGGCATCTCTTATCTCTTTATTATTAAGGCAATTAAAATCACTAATGTCCATATGACGGGGCTCTGTGGATATGTGCTCCACCCCGGTCTGCCCGTTTTGCATCACTTGCACCCCGTGAGGGATATCTGTTGACGCTCTGACCTCACATATTCCTGTCAGCGTTTCTTCCTCATCGCCAGGTCTCTCGTAAGGATTTCTTGATAAAGCGTCCGCATTGCCATTGGACCGCCCCGGGCGATATTTTATCTCCAGGTCAAAGAGTGCCAATTCTGCTGCCCATCGCTGTTCGATGGATCCCAACTTTGCTGTCTGTAGGTGACTCAAGGGGTTATTGTCAGTGTATACCACACATTTAGCACCTAATAGATAGTCCCTGAATTTTTCAGTCACAGCCCATTTTAATGTCAAAAGTTCTAGTTTCATGGCGCTGTAATTTGTCATGTTCTTCTCTGATTCCTTCAGAGCTCGACTGGCATACGCAATAACCCTGAAACCTTGCTCTTGTTGTTGTGATAGTACAGCTCCCAGACCTTTAGAGCTGGCGTCAATTTCTAGCCGAAATGGTTTGTCAAAGTCTGCGTATCCTAATATCGGCGCCTCGGTCAAAGCATTTTTCAGTAGCTTAAACGAGTTCAGGCATTCCTCAGTCCATAATTCACCTATCAGTAGTGTTTTGCCTTTCTTTTTCTCCTTACTGTGTTTCTTTGTCATTTTGTTTACCAAGTCATGCAACGGTGCGGCAATTTTTGCAAAACCAGGTACAAATTTTCTATAATAGGAAGCAAAGCCCAAGAATGATCTGACCTCTACTGTGGTTGTTGGCTGTTTCCATTCTTTAACAGCTGCAATTTTATCTGGGTCAGTGGCGATGCCATCCGACGAAATCACATAACCCAAAAAACGTACCGATTTCAGACCGAAGCCGCATTTGTCTGGGTTCAGCTTTACTCCTATCTCTCTAAGACGGAGAAACACTTGTTCTAATCTTTCTAGATGGTCCTCCCAAGTTTTTGAGTAAACTAGTATATTATCCAAGTACACCAACATTATTTGAAATAGAAAGTCACTCATAGCACTTTGCATTACTCGCTGGAATGTAGCAGGCGCATTAGTTAGACCAAACGGCATACGGGTCCACTCGTACAGTCCCAGTGGAGAAATAAATGCAGTCTTATGTTGATCGTTGGGGTGCATGGCCACTTGGTGGTAGCCACTAGCCAAATCCAAGGTAGAAAAAAATCTTGCTCCCCCCAACGCATCAAGACATTCATCAATACGAGGCAAGGGGAATGCATCCCTTCTTGTGATATTGTTCAATTTCCGGTAATCACAACACAGTCTTATCTCCCCTGACTTCTTTTTTACCACTACTATCGGTGCCGCATACGGGCTTGTGCTGGTTGTAATAATTCCCTTTTTTAGTAGATCGTTCAGGTGTGCTTTCACCGCAGAGTAGTGACTTGGTGGTAATCTTCGATAAGGTTGCACCACAGGCTTGTCTTGTAGTAAGGGTATCTGGTGTTTTATTACTTCCGTGTAACCCAAATCACCCTCGTACGAGGCAAATATATCCCTGTACTTATTCAGCAATTCATTTAGTTTTGGGTCCTCAGTTTCCGGGAATGTATATGATCGGCCATCCTCTTTCTTCACCTCGGCCGTCACATTGACCGACCTAATTGTTACTTCATTACTGCTGGTATTGATCAGTTCGATGCACTGTGCCGACTTTTGTACCTCGACGTTCTGTGGTACTCCTACCAGAGTGTTAGGCGGTATAAAAATTTCCTCATCCAAAACATTTGCCACTAATCCTTGAACCAGTCCATTTTCCGCTGATGTGTATGTCCGCAGTAACACGACGCCTGCCCTCAGTGCGGCGCCACATGGTTCTATCATCACATCACCATTGACGCTTCTATCACCAATTAGTAATGTGATTGCCTTGACCGTGTTTGCCGGGACTGATGTCCTTCCTCTGGTCTTGGCAAACCTGGCCAACTTGGATCCCCGACCTGGTGTGGACGATCCGACAATATTTGTAAGAAATTCTGGCAACTGGCCAAGAATATTCATGCCCAACAGGCAAGGTATATTTGACACATTTGTCTCTAGGTTGTGTTTCGTAACGAACACCCCAACCTGCTTCAACCTATGTCCCGCCACCACGACATCCGCCAGAAAATAACCACAATATGGAATGGTTAATCCATTAGCTGCCGTTAGGCGCATGCATGTGTCAGACCTTAAACTATGGTCTTTTCCTTTCATCCATTTGGTGTAAAATTGTTCCGTAATTGTCGTCACCTGGGAGCCTGTATCCACAATTGCCTTCACCGCGATGTCCCCGATCGTAATCATCGTTTCGGGACAGACTCCCATCATTTTGTTTCTTGGGCCATAACCTCGCCCCTCTGTAGCCTGACCCTGCCTTACAGAGGACAGTACCGTGCCATATGTCCGGGTTGTGAGCAGGACAGGCAGATTGGTCTGCCGTCAGCTGTCCACTGGAGTGATTGCTTGGCAGGTCGCGGCTGTCTAACCTGTCTATGTTTTGTCCCGTTTTTGCCCTGATTCTCTGCTGTTGACCTGCTTTCTAACCTCTCCAATCGTTGGTCAACCTTATCCAGGTGGGCCAACAGTTGAGCCATCATGGTTTCCATCGTGCCGGTCCTTGTGGGTGGGGATTGTTTCTGTTCCGGCACAGAGACTTTGTCTACCGAACAGTTCGATTGGTCCTCATCCTCGGACCTGCGGATCGCTGAGTTCCTGACCTGAAGGAAGGTCAACTGTGGGTCTTTGTAGACCTCTTCTCTCAAATCTCTCCTTAAGATAGGGGTTGCTAGCCCCTCGATGAAATGGTCCCTCAGTAGGCGCACATCAATGTCGGGTGTTTTGCCCTTTACCGCGTCAAAGGTCCTGTTAATTCGGTGTGAATATTCCATCACACTCTCCGCCATTCTCTGCTTTAAGCCTACGAACCCCGATAGCAGTTGCGATCCCGACCGTCTCTCCCCAAAGGTCTCCATAATTAGATCTAGCACCTTATCTGGATCTGTTTGGATGGTTTTATCGTGGCATTTGACCTCTGCCCTAACCGTCTCTCCTATACTGCCCATCAACAATCTTAATCTTTCCTCTGGTGCCATGTATCTCGAGGCCCAGGCAGCTTTGACCTCTTCACTGAACCTGTTGGTTAAGGTTGGGTCACCGTCCCCGTAAAATTTGTTGATGTGGGACTCTCTGGGCAGGACCACAATATGGGTCTGCTTCTCGTCCAGAGTAGACATTCTAATTTTAATTCTTTGATTAAAAAAAAAAGACCTTTCCTACCGTGTATGTAAGAATACTTTTCCCTGTTCCTGAATGTCCGAATTCACACACACGAAACACAGTTATTAACTAGGTTGATAATGGGTGCCTAAAGCGGCTGGTCTAGTTGAATTCTTCTGCTCGACAACGCCAAATGTTACCGAGTCTATTTGCTTGTAGTGCCAAATGTTACCGATTTCACTGCTGACAGAGCCAAGTGTTACCGAGTGTATTTGCTCGTGCTACCTTTGACCAGCTCACAACATCGACCACAATATAGATACTCGGAAATGCAGGTTTACATTGATCTCTTTATTACATGAATCAATAGAAATGCTCCACATAACAATGCATCAATGTTCCATAAGAATACAATGAACCAACTGACCCCCACTGTCCTCACTAGTCCTCACATAACAGAATGCACGTGTCCATAATTCCTATCCTCACATAACACAATACGTCTACCTCGTTCAGTAACCAACTTGATACTGCCCCTAACACGTCTCTACAGTTCGGCTTTTCCTTCTCAACTCTCGCCTTCCCATATATCCCTTGTATTCGTAATCGTATTCGTAATCGTATTCGTAATCGTATTCGTAATCGATTCTAATCGTTGCATCAGAATATTAATTGCGCAGCTCTGTCGTACAGTCCGATTATTAGACCACCTGCACTATTACGTCAGACTGTGACTGCGCAGCGGCTTTGTCGTATTGCTTCCCAAAATACGCCGTGGCTTATCAGTCCAACACCTGTTGCATCAGACTGTAATACGTTCTTACAATAGTATGGTAACTACCCCAGTTACATATATATATATATATATATATATATATATATATATATATATATATATATATATATATATACATGTATGTGTGTATACAAATCCTTAACATGATTTCTTTTTATGCATACAATTTGAAATGTTATATTAGTACATAGTATATACTGTATATATATATAATTATACATAGTATATATGTGCATTATAGATATATATATATATATTTAAGTGTTATTATATTATTTTGGTTGTTCTGTGTATGTATAAATATAGATGTACGTTTGCCAACAATATTGAAGTAAAATTTATATTAACTTAATAGAAATCACAATTCACACAATACGGGAGAAACAATTGCTGAACATTGACGCACCGGATTTTATATGCATGATTCTTCGAACATTGAAATGGTTTACCAACATTAGCAGAACTTTCTCAAAGGTTAATACTGATATTAATAGCATGAATACTAAGATAACCTGAGTAAATACATGCACTTGGTATTTTTCCATTATACCATAAGTAAGTTAATTAAGTTTTATGTTTATTTAACAAGTGCTATTATAAATTTCATACACTAGACTTTAGCACAACAAGAAGTCGTAGACTTACTTGTACAGCGTTTACGTCATTTACCAGACTCTACAAACAAGGTAAACTATTCTCTTTTTTGTTTTACATTACCTTAGTTTATTTTATGATATAAATATTTTAATTACTTTTATATGTATGTACACATAAATATGAGACCTGTAGCCTTACACAAAAGTGCTTTGATGTTATTGACATTGAGAAAATCAGAAGTTTGACTACTGGTGATTTTACCATACACTTAACAATTAAAGTTGGCCTATTATTTGTTTTAGCTTTTTAGAAATACTATATATATATATATATATATATATATATATATATATATATATATATATATATATATATATATATATATATATATATATATAAATATATATATGTAGGTCGATCTACATTATCTATTCGATATTTTTTTTCTTGTGGCTTTATTTTTTGTGTATTTTATTAAATCTATTAAATTTATTTAGTACATGTTAATTTCTACTAATGGCAACTCTAAGAATGTGTCCTTAAAAATGTGTACACGTTGTATTATTAAAGAAACTAACATGTTATTGTTATTATAAAACAACTACATAATTATGGTCAAACCCCCGACCTGGCCAAACTGCATATGGTCAAAATCCCAAGGGTAAAAGAACGTTTATTTTACATAAAGATACTTTTCTATAACACGTATAAAATTAATATATAAATAGTATATAAATTATATATATATATAAATTATATAAAATTATATAAAAATATATAAAATTATATATATATATATATATATATATATATATATAAATACATATATATATATACTATATGAGTAATATATAAATCTATATACATAACAAGCAATGTATGTCTATCTGTCTATTTGTCCTTTATGCATTACTACACCTCTCATCACATCGCCGTAAAATTTTAAGTTTTCTGCGAAAAAAAAATTTCAAATTCGCAAGGGCGGCGCCACGGAAGGGTGCGATTTTTCTCTATTTACGGTATATAAAAATAACAAAAGTCAATTGCAGTGACACCGTTCTCACGACCGCCATGAAACTTTGGGAAGATGTTGAGAATACTCCCGGAGAAGATTTTTGCGCAAAAAACATTTTCAAATTCGTAGGGGTGGCGCTCCCGTAGGGCGCGATTTGTTTTTTCTCTATATACGGTTTATAAAAATAAAAGTCGATTTTGATTTGACACTGTTCATCCGATAGGCATGCCATTTTTGATAGTTCATTATAACACTCTAAGGGAGGGTTCTGTAAAAAAATCATTTTTAATTTTGCAAGGGCGGCGCCACGGGAGAGTGCGATTTTTCTCTATATACGGTATACAAAATAATAAAAGTCAATTGCAGTGACACCGTTCTCACGACCGCCATGAAACTTTGGGAAGATGCTGAGAATACTCTTGGGGAGGTTTTTGCGCAAAGCAAAAAACATTTTCAAATTCATAGGGATGGCGTCCCCGTAGGGCGCGATTTGTTTTTTCTCTTTATACGGTATATAAAACTTTAACCCTTTATCTACTGACAGTACTTATAAGAACCACTTTAATTAAGTGCCTGTATTATTTTTAATATAATACGAATTTTAAAAAATTATTCAAGTAATTAATAGTATTATCTCCCCTGAGTCAACGGCAGTTGGATTGCGGTTTCGCGGCGTTATTCTTTTTTTTTAGTTACACAAGGGCGGCGCCACGAAATTGGGGGATTTTTCTCTATATAGGCCCTACGGGATATAAAAATAAAAGACGATTGCGGTTCGACACAGTTTATCACGGTGACATAAAACTTTAGTGAGTTGATGAATACTCCCGAGAAGGTTTTTGGAATGGGAGGGCTCATAAGGGTGGGTAGGTGCTGGGGAAGGGGGATTTAATTTTGCATGGGCGGCCCCCCGGCAGGATGCGATTTGGCGCGTTGGTCTTTCCCGTGAGCGCTATGGTGAATACGTTCGGTCTAAACAGTGTGATAGACAACGGATAGGATGGGGCGTTACAAATTGAATCAGGCTTGTCCTCTGGAGCCCCGGTAGGATGCGATTAGGCTGCAAATAAAAATGTCTGTTTCGGCCCCAAACGCTCACATAGGCGGCTGAGAGCCATGTATTAAGTTTTATTTTAATAATCAGAAAAATTAACCAAGGTTAGATTATTAACTGGGACGTATCTTTTGTCTTTAAACAAATCCATACAGTTTCGTCACTTTGCGAATGATGCAATAGGCATCTATTTTTAGATAATTCAAACAGAAAATGAGATCGAGCATCTAAGAATAGACCATTAGTAACGCTAACATATTGCATCAGTCACACTAATGTTTGAAACGCGTCAACACATTTTTTCGTGTTAAATATTAAATCCTGTTCATTTGTGTCACTTTAGTGAATGTCGCAATCTGCATCATTGTTAACAGGATGCTATTTTAAGGAGCCAGGGGTCGTACGCCGCGCGTATGCGGTAGTGTAATCGGGGGGGGGGGGAGGGGGGGGGGGGCTCCTGAGAGCGGGCCTCTACGTCTCTGACACATGGGCGGTCACCGAAGTGTGTTCTACCATATTATTTCGGTGAGTGCACTCAAGGCTTTCATGCGGTAGTGTAGGTAAAACCGTGTCCTGATATTTATGATCCAAACGCAGGCATTGTTTACATTTAAATAACTCATTTTTAGAAAAGAAGGTCACGCGTCTAATAACATCATTATGATTGGTATCGCGTTGGTGAAATCCTTCTAATATATTTTTTTCTTCTGTCCCCGTGGCATCGCGCGGGGGACGGGTACGCTAGTTATATATAAATTATATATTAATATATATATATATATATATATATATATATATATATATATATATATATATATATATATATATATATATATAAATATATATATATATATATATATATATATATATATATATATATATATATATATATATATATATATATATATATATAAAATTAAAGCTTACGTCAAACTATTTATAGAGATTTAAAAACAATCATGTGCATTTTGATTTTTCACCATGCATTTTTCAGTAGAGAAAGGTAAGACATAAAAATGTAACATTTACATATGTGTTTCGAACAGGTGACACCCAGGTGGTAACTATTAAACCAAGCTAGTCACTTATTATTGGGTGAAAATATATATTGAGTAATTTTACTTATGCCAGCGGGAGAAAGTAAAGTTACGTGAATATTATTTTACATTATGTTATATCCTAATTTAGCCAATTCCTTTGCTTAAAAAATAAAGTTTTATATAAAATAATTAATTGAGATATTCCATAAAGTTAGATTCTAGTTCTTAAATTCTAGATACAATCTAAGGATAGACGAAAATGGTTTAAGTCTAAACCATCAGTAGCTATAATAAATAAATTAAATTCTCGAATAGATAACTCTCGTTTGTCGATATAAGTTGCGTTTCATTTGGACAAATTCACATACGTTTCAAGTAAGTCCATGAGAAAGTTTCTGTATCTATATATAAAGTATTGTTTCTTAACTTTTAAAATTAAAGTGTTGTATCAATAAATAAATATATCAAATAATTATATATCGTCGTTAAAACATTGTGGTTAAGACTTTAGGAGAAAGAACATTTTTCTCTATTTAAATAAGTATTTTGAAGTTGTGCACAATAAATATGATCTTATCTAACAGAATAGACAAATAAAAATATAAATACACAATCTTGTAAACAACTTGAATGTTAGTAGAATATATATATACATATATATATATATATATATATATATATATATATATATATATATATATATGCATATATATATATATATATATATATATATATATATATATATATATATATATATATATATAAATAATACTTATTTGTATTACAAATAACGAAAGGTAAAACTATTTAAAACTCTGTTTGGATTTTATATCCACATTTAGAACGGATAAAGCTCAAGTTTTCTTAGCTCAAAGTTAGCTGGGGACAGCCACTGTTCTAGGAGAGACAACTCCAAAATCAAACAACTGTTGCCTTGTAGTTTGTTCTTGGTTGGACAAAGGCTTTGGAAGCAAATCCAAAAAGAAAAGCAGGCTAAAATAGGAGTCAATGGCCTCAATGTCACAAAAACAGTTGACACGTATCCTTAATTGTGTTTAAGTGGGATCCTTACAACACAAAAATTAAGAACGAAGAAGAAGAAGGACATAGGTAAATTATGTCTTGAATGTAGCGGGTAGAATTGTCGCTACTGAAAAGACACGAACTAATGTAGGGATTAGGGACTTTCATCAAATCAGCCGTTTTTTATGTTTTTAATTTTAAAAAATGAAATTTAATTACGAGCTTTTTATCATTAAATTATTATGTAACTTAACTTATCGTGTAACATTTAATATTTTAAGACATTTTTTTTACATTTATTTGAACTGACATTTGTTTTAGGAATGGACTTCTTTTGCAAACATCTCTGCTGGAATAATACTTCTTGTGTTGCAAAATGAAAAGTGTATTAAGGATTATGACATAAAAGAATTAGCACCGGTAATAATTTCTCCCAAATAAATATTTTAGAGATTATTGTAAAATATATTACTTTTTAGATGGGTTTGATTATTAGTTTAATATGAGCCTGCAGAGTAAATTTAAGGTATGTAAACTTACTGAGAACATAACATTACGCATAGGTCTAAAGGGTTAAATAAATATAACTGTTGAATTTACAAATTATCGGTTTACACATTTAAACACAGTATACCTAGTTTTTAAGTTCTAAAAATATTAGATAATATATTGATAAGAGCACGTACTAAAAAATAAAGTTTTTTTGTAGACAACTAAAACGAACATTTTATTAAATTAACTTACGAATATTATGATATGTCATTTCTAATGTCTGAAAACATTTAAGTAATAATAACATATGTTTGTTCTTTATTTGTGTACTACACAGTTAATGTCAAAGTTTGTTAGCCGTAAAGATCAAGAAGCAATTACCGACATTAAACTACTACATTTGTATATAGACAACAGTAAGCGATCATGGTTTCCAGAAAAAGGTATTTTCTCTACACATTTTATAATGTCTGCAATGTTTGTATGTGTATCTTCTTTACCACATGATGACAGTTTAATTACATATAAATATAGGTTTAAACGTTTAGTTGTTAATATACCAGTCGCCTTGTGCTGAAATTGTACAACGATTGCGACATAAACGGTGGCAGATATTTAAAATAAACATGTTAATATAATACTCTGAGCGATTTACATGTAATTTAAACTATTCTTTTTGACAGATATTTTTTTACAAAATATGTAAGCTAGAAATTACATAAACTGTTGAAAATAACAAATCTGACATTTTAAATCTCAGATTTTATGTATAAGAAACTTAGTTATTTATATTTAAATGTAGATGGTTTTTAAAAAAAAATCAAATTAATAATTGTATATTTTTTAAAACTAGTTGCTGCACAAATGTGTGTTCAAGGAATTATTCATGCTATTGAAAATAAAAGAAGATCATACAAGGGCTTTAACTTGGTGGCTTGGATAAAATGTCTGACGAAAATGTGTCAAGCAGCTAAAATTATATATGAGGTAAGAATTGTAAGTTTCAGTATAAGCGACTTATTTATACATATCTTTATTATAAAGTAAATATACATTTTTAATATTAAGCATTCTAACTTTTTAACTATATTCCCTATAGATTTTAGCAGCCGAACCACTTGACTGTTTGTATGATGGCATAAGCTCCCCAATCGTTACGGAACAAGAAGCTGCTGCTGATTGTTTGTTTGCTATTGCGGAAAAAAGTCCTGGAAATTTTAAAATTGGCGAGCACACAAAAATTATGTCTTTCCTTGAAACAATGCAATGTTGTGGAAATGAAATATTAGAGAAGAAAGCAATATCTGTGTTATGGTATGTCAAACAGGAGGCAATTATTTTGAGCAAAAAAGAAGGTAATTTAATGATATATATATATATATATATATATATATATATATATATATAGAGAGAGAGAGAGAGAGAGAGAGAGAGAGAAATTTATATATATAGAGAAATGAAATGGAGTGCAAGATAAACATATAGTGTTAAACGAAAAAACATTTTTAATTGTATGGAATTAACTTTATATTTGTTTAAAATCGGGCTTTAAATTAATAATAACGGTGTACCATTATGCGTTATAAAACATTACGTCAACATAACGTTGTTTTAGAAATCCTGGCTCCGATACTTCCTGAGCAATGGGATAAGTCGACTTACCTTGGAAATGGAACATATGGATGTGTTTACCTACTACAAGATTTAAATGAACCAACTGCTGAAGAGTTTGCTTTAAAGGAGATGGAATTAATGAAGGGAAAATCTTTTGAAAATCAAGTAGGCTAAATTGCATGATAAATCAATTCCATAAATTATAAAACGACGCCTTATAATTTGAAAATTTATGAAGTACAAAATGTTATTATGTATCAAGTTATATTATTGCATATAAGGGACTAAACTGTCATTTATGAAAATAAGCCGGGAGTGATCTCCACTAAACTTTCTCGAATATTCTAATATAAAATTACGAGGGATGGCAACTCAGGACATAGACAATATTTGTTATCCATTTTTAATTACTTAAACTTTTTATAATAGAATAGAATCTCGTAAAAAAAGAATTGCACACCAAGTGAAAAGTTTCCCTTTCAAACCTTTCAAACGGTCTATGGGACAAGTGAAGTAGAGTTCATTTGTTTCTGTGACCTCGGCATATGAAGAGATAGTGTGGTCAGCACTATGCCTAGCCGCCTTTACTTTCCCTAACAGGAGTTAGGTACTCATCAGAGTTGGGTGGACTCAGGGACTGTCTACTGACTTGAACCCGGATTCGAACTCGAGACTAACGGTTTAGCAGTCCAGCTCTCTACTGCTAGACTACTCCGTTCCACACCAAGTGAACACCTAATAAAATGTGCATAAAAGTGCGGGATATTATTAGTACTTTATAAATTTACATGCGTTTTTGAGAAATCGGAAATAGCGTAAATTAGCACTTCCGGTCAACGGAAATTACTCAAAATTTGACAGAAGTTAGAGAATTAGATCTTTTACTTACATGTGAAATTTCATTAATCTATCTGAAATAGTACGCAAGTTATAGGCTTTTGAAAAATTCAAAGTAGAAATAGTACCACTTTCGGTTATCGGAAATCGCTCAAAAATTGATCAGCATCTACGATTTTGATATAATACTTACAAATGAAATTTTATCAACCTAGCTGTAACGGTACTCAAGTTATCCTGTTTACACACAGACAGACACACAGACATACGGACAGAATTGCAAAGTCCAGTTTTTCCGACTCGATAATGCACACAACGTCAAAATGTTTATATATTTGTATTTATAATTTTTGCCTGATTAAAATAAGTCCTCTATACTCTGGATGTGATGAAGGACTGAGGAGTAAAACGGTGAAAACTGTCAAAATTTCAAGTTATTTGTGTGCACGATTACAAGACTTTCTTTATACTTCGTAAATACTAGAAAGTAAAAAAGACAATTTCGCGATTCATGAGAGCTTTTTTTAAAAAAAGTAATTCCTTAATTAATTAATTAACTAATATTTCTTTTACTCTAATAAGGAAATAAATATACATTTGATATTTTACAGATGAATTCAGAGTTAAACATATTGTTTAAAGTTAGTCATCACAGACTAGTCAGATTTTTTGGATTTCAAAAGAAACTGTCAAAACTGTGTATGTTTTTTGCATACATGCCTATGGTAAGTTTTTATAAAACTTAATGCTCCTATAAAAATAGAATCTGAATATAGGCACCATAGCACCATAAGACATTAAAAGTTAAAAAGAAACAATACAATACTTTAAAAAACATTGTATTGTGTAAATTCGATAATTAAACGTTTGTGTATTTTATGATTTACAGATGTCCTTAGCATTAAAAAATAATATTAAAAAGTATACAAATATTAGTATCCCTGATTTTGTATATGCAGAGAGTGATTGATTTACATATAATTTATAATGTTAAACGAGATAACATTATTTTTCTGATAATAATTTTAATTTGCTTAAGGGTTCTCTAAGAGCTTTTGCAAAAAAACAAAATGGATTATCGGAGAAAACTATCAAAACGTTTACACTGCAAATTCTAGAAGGACTGAACTTTTTACACAGTCGAATTTCGCCTATTATACACAGGGATATTAAAGGTTGCTATGTTTAATTTTTATAATTTAGTTAAATACAATAATTAAGGAACACATACACTTGCTACAGTTATAGCTATATCTTGAACTTTTAAAAATAATTGTTTAAAAACAAACGTTTTAATAATCAGTCTTTTCTTTTGGTGACTATAGCATTAAGTTGAACACTTCACACATTTTATATGTTTTAAACAATGATTTTCAATTTCGGAAATTTAAATGGCTAAACCTTAATTATTTAAAATTTGTCTAATCATAAAATTGACTAGCAAATGAGTAGGCAGCTACCAGAATCTGTCACTAAAAATAAATACGTTTGACATTTAGAAAATCATTTGAAATATATTTAAGGTTCAATACACATGTTTTTATCAGACATTTTCTTTTGCGTTTTTATTTTATTATAACTGTATGTTAATCTGTCGATAGTGTTCATGTCTGTATGATCATTGATTTCAGCTTAATATAGTTTTGTAAAACTCAACATCGTCCGAAAAAAGTTCAATTTTAAGATTTCTAAAACTTTAAGGAATTTTATACATTATTGACAACTTTTAGATTGAGATAAATATTATTGCAATCGAGCGTCAATCATTCTTTCAATAGTAGATTTTAAGTTATTATATAATAGGCACATTTCTTTAATGCAGGTGAGAATGTTTTATTGGAAAATGAAAACAGTGTCAAGCTAGCTGATTTTGGATTGGCGAAAATAGTAACCAACTCAAATCTACCTAAAACAAATGAAACTTGCACAACTAAGTGGGTCGCACCAGAAGTACTGAAAGGGAGCGAAAATACGCCATACGATTGTAAAGCTGATATTTGGTGAGGAGTTTTCTTCTAGATTTAATCTATTATCGGGTCTCTCTCTCTCTAAGTCTCTCTCTCTTTCTCTCTTTCTTTCGCTCTTTCTTTCTCTCTCTCTCTCTCTCTCTCTCTCTCTCTCTCTCTCTCTCTCTCTCTCTCTATATATATATATATATATATATATATATATATATATATATATATATAAACATTTTGTGCTTTGGATCCAAATTAAAACCTAAAGCAAAATCAAAATTAAAATTGTCTAATATATCCAATGTTTTATTTTAATTCCAGGAGTTTGGCATGTACTGTGGTGGAAATGGCTACAACAAATCCACCATGGCCCGATCACTTACCAGAACAGCACATGTTTCAACTAGTCATGGGAAATAAACCACAGTATTTACTTTCAGATGCGTATTCCCAAGCATTGCATGCTTTTTTGAATAAAATGTTTCAATATGATCCAGAAAAAAGACCATCATCACTTGAGCTCTTGAATGACCCGTATGTTAAATGGACGTGTCAATCAGCATCCAATTGAACAATTTATTCTATACTAGCCGTCCCGGCCAGGCCCTGCTCTGGTTTCTGTGAAAAACCTTTCTGTTAAAGACCATTACCTGTGTGTTTAGTAATCATCATAAACCCGGCATTGCACACCCAAACCAAAACCAAAACAACAAAACGCAAACATAACGCTAACACAATTACAAATACAAACGAAAACAAAAACCTAACAACTAACCCAACCACAACCACAAACACCAATACGAACACAAAGAAAAAAACAAACGAAAAAGCAAACGAAAACAAACCAAATCCAAATGCAAAACCAACCACAAACCCAAAGAAAAAAACACAAACGAAAAAACAAACGAAAACAAACCAAATACAAACGCAAAACCAACCACAAACACAAATACAAACACAAACGCAAAGAAAATAAAACACAAACGAAAACGAAAAAAGAAAGAACAAAAACGAACCAAATCAAAACGCAACCACTAACGCAAACCCAACCTAAACACAAAGAAAACACTAACGCGAACATAAACGCACAGTGCTCAGAGTCTAGCCCGGGGCGGAATCGCCTGCTTCAGCTTAATAAACGACTATAGTACCCCAACTTATTCATAGTCTTTTGCACTCACTTTAATGAACGTAGGCGCGAAACCGAACACGGGAGGCCCGGGACCCCAAATAGCACCCTGTCTGGGCGCCAGAGGACGCACCATGACGTCACCGCCTGATTGAACTTAGTAAACGACTATAGTACATAACTTATTCATAGTCTTTTGAACTCACGCGAACGTATATACCATAGCGTACAACGGAAGGCCCGGGGCGCCAAATAACACCCTGTCGGGGTGCCGGAGGACGCCCGGATTTGATTCACTTAAAGACTATAGTAACCTTTCTTACCCATAGTCTATCGCACTGTTAAAAACAAAACTATGCAGCATAGCGCTCACATGATAGCCCAGGGTGCCAAATCGAACCGTGCAAGGGCGCCGGCGGACGCGCCTGTTTCAATTTAGTGAACAAAAATGATAATACTCCAAGCTTATCCGTAAATGGAAAGAAATAAACATATAGGATTTGTAGGACCTGGCTTATTAAATGTTATTGATTTAAAAAAAAATATTGAACAGTATGTTCAGTGTATAGAATAAATAAAAGGCAGTGTTAAAAATACCTAACGACATTGCACTTAATCAATCCCCGCTAATTATGTAATTATTTTTTTTTTCTTAACACCAAAAACAAAGTAATAAAATGTAAATTCTTTCTTATTAAGAATTTTTTTTTAAAGGGAAGTAACTGCAGTCAATACATTTCCGACACAATTTTAGAAATTTTATAAACGTCGATACACTTTTTAAAAATTTTATGTCGTGTTCATAATTGAAAATTATTCTTCTAAGTAAATAGAATGAAAATTGTTTTTAAAGACTTTCAATGGTAATTTTTTGACTCGTAAATTTAGACTATGAGCACGATAAAAAATCTAACACTTAAATCCATAGAACTGTCAACGACAAACTTTTTTGCCACACGTTACAGAACTGAGCTTTATATATATTAGATTCAAACATCTTTTAAATGAAAATGCACCTTTTTTGTAACATTTGTTCAATTACTATTTTTTAAATATCTGTATAATTTCCTTTTTTAAATATTTAAATATAAGTGCAATTTTTTAGTACTTATAGATTGCTTCTAATAATTCGAAAAATAACGAGATACTTTGATTACAATTCTTAAAGATGATTACAAATATGATTTAATTTACCCTTTTCGTAAATAGTTTGCTTGTTTTACGTATTTCAACATATTTTCAAACAAAGTACGTGGGGATGTACAAACTTTATTAACGCACGTCTATAATTAAACAATACTTTTAGTTATAGTTTTTATGGTAAAAAAAAACATTTATAATTGATAAATAATGTAATAAAGCGTAGATAGAAATATAGATAGGTATAATGATGTGAATTGGGATTGAGTTAGCGTTAAGAAGATTGATAAGGATTTTGATAGAGACAATTTTATGTTTAGAGACAAGGTTAGAGTTAATGAACATATTGCAGATACAGTTTAGAATAGACATAGCATTGTGGATAGGGATAGTGTTACGTTTGATAAACGTCTTTGATAAAATAATAATCAGGAGATTATTACAAGTGCATCGACAAATAATGTTGTTTTCTAAATGTAACAGAAATATATTTGTTATGTATATAGACAAATAGACATTTATTATTTATCTGAATACTATATAAATTTCAAATAACCCGAGTACATGCCGAGTTTGAGTTGCTTGTATAAAATACACATCAACTGTTAAAAAGAATTATGGATGTTTAGTAATCCTGTTTTGCAATACATAAAATAGAATTGTATGAACTCGTATCAAACATCTTTATAAAAAGTAAATCTTTTTTTTTCAACTGGCATCTTAATGATTGTTCGATAACTATATAAAAGATTGTGCGTGACTGAACCCATCGTGTTTTTTCTTTACCCAATAATTGCTAGTTCAATTAAGGGATTTCAATAGATATATTTGATCGGAAATGTATTATACAATAACATGTATATACTGGAGTGACGTTTTAACTATTTGACCATAACCGAAGGAATCGATATAGTATGTATACATTTAGTATACAATTTTAATTTTAATAAATGATATACCAGTTTATTATCTGAAAAATATTATTTATATTTTGAATCAGAAAACTCTTTAAATATAATCACACATGTATGTTTGAAATATGTTGTTTATTATTGCATTACATTTAAGGTTACTCTGTATTTAGTTAATATGATATATAATTTTAAAATGCACATCTTAATGATATTGAAGAATGTTTATTGTTCATGTTGCTCCTCTTACTCGAATAATATGTAAATTTTCACTATTAATTAAAATAGATTTATTTATTCAATTGCTGGCAATAATACACTATCCAAATATCCGTGTAAATCCCTACTGATTAAAATAATATTTTGTGTTTAACTTGTATCTACTAAAGATAACTGTTTTTATATTACAATTGATTATTTAAAATTGCTTACTTGTCAATTTAAAGGCAATGTGTTTAGTCTCTTGTGACTAAGCAGTTATTAGGAAAGGGGGGATTGAAAAATATTTCCTAAAATATTAAAGCAAACAGGCCTACGTGTATAATTGGTGGTTATTATTGGACAATGTCATAAAAGCTGTATATACATTATTTTTTACTTAAAAATGTTAATTCTAGCAAATACATGCTCATTGTTTTTACGTTAAATTGTGTATAAATATTTTCCATCAATGTCAAATGGCATGTGTCGTTTTATCTAAAAAAGTGAATTGTTATAACAGTAAAAAAATTAAGATTACCTATGTTAAGATTACCTTTTACTTTATGTTCATTACATTAAAATAAAATAAGATGACTATGTGCATTTAACAATAAGAAAGTTGAAATAAAACATACATTTTTTGTTTTATTTTTACAAAACTAGTACTACATATTTTTTTGTTTTCTTGCTTCTATAAATTGTATAGGCCTAAACATTAATACTCTTCATATGTCGAGGTCACAGAAACATGTGAATTCTACTTCACTTGCCCTATAGACCGTCAGGTTTGGGAACTTTACTTTTTTAAAACATTAATATATTTAAGTTACTTACTGATACGAATGTTTGCAAATATTAAAGGGTCTCAGTGTCCGAATTATTGTGTTTTTAATAACGAAGCAGACATTTTAATGCACTTGATCTTATTCTTTATATAGGGGATAGGAAATATTTTTTAGTAATAATTTTTTTTTATAAAACTTATGTTTGGAGCCAATATAATATAATTTTTTGAATAGATCTTTAAAATAGATAATATTAAATAAGAAACTGTAGCATGTAGTATTTAACTCTGCTTTGTATCATGGGGTCAATTTGGTCTCGGCCCATTTTCGACCAATGTTTTGTTTTGAAAATCACGATTAGTGACTTTACCTGACATGTATTTTTTGCGTAAGGTCCTCAGTTTGATAGTTTTTAAGTATCACCGGTTATTAAGTATCTAGGTTTCGTCAATGTAATGAGTGCATTTTTATCACATGTAAGTAAAATATCTAATTCTCTGTCAAATTTTGAGTAATTTCCGTTGACCGGAAGTAGTAATTTTCGGTATTTCCTATTTCTTAAAATACGCATGGGAATTTATAAAGAACTAATAATACTCCGCACTATTATGCACAATTTATTTGGCATTCACTTGGTGGGCAATTCTTTTTTCTACGTGATTTTATTCTATTTTAAAAAGTGTAAGTATTTAAAATGGATACAAATGATGTTTATATCTCCAGTTGCCATCATCTGATGTTTCATATAAGAATATTTGAGAAAGTTTAGGGGAGATCGCTCCCAGTTTATTTTTTTTAAAAATTATATGTATTTTATTAGCTGCTTGTTTTATTGCTTTAGAATTAATTTCGCCTTTCTTTGGCCTGTTCTCTGTTGCAGCTTGAAATGTATAAAAAAATATTTAATAAATAGCAGTTAATTAATAAAAGATTAATTTTTGTTCTATTTTTTTTTGCCTCAGACATGTAATTTACAGCGTCAGTTTGCCGTACATGTTCGCTTTAGTATTACAGTTTTCATCATCGGCTTGTGAGGACTATTACAGTTTTACAATAGTAATACTTCTTTCTTACTTCATACATCGATCTAGCACACAAGGCCTAATTGCAATTTTATTTTTTAAAAAAAGCAGAAAATGCAAAAGTGTAATTATTTAATGATTCAAGGGATTTTTTTATCGGCGTGGTGGGCTTGAAGGGGTTTGGGCTTTACGTAGAGCTGAAATAAATTTGGGATTAAAGAAAAGAAAATTTTAAAAAGTATTAGAAAAACTAAAAGATTAAAAGTATCAAAATTTAAAAATAGCCGAACTAGCAAATTGTATCTTAATAAAACGTTATCTGCTTATTAAATAATATGTTGTTTTTTTGTTTATTAGACTGTTAGGGCTAGTGTACGGATTTAGCAGTCCTAAAAATATCTAGTTTAGTTTTATGATTAAGTTATATGTCCCTGTCAGGGCTAAAACCTTGTCCAAAAACTGTGTTTTTTCTACTACTATTGGGACCGTTTCAATAAAAGTACACACTCATAATAAACAAATAGGCTCATATTTCTTGTTTGATGAACTGTAACCTATATATTCAGTTGTATGCATAAATAAATAGTTGTGGTAGAAAGTAAACGTCAGAAATAAATGTTGTTATTGTAAATCTATCTCAGTCCCCACCGGCCGATGATGAAATTAGCATGCCAAAAAAAGTTCATCGGTATTATTTTAACAAATGAAAATTATGATTTGTTTCAACAATTATTTTAAACCTCGTAGTAATAAAACAAAAGCTAAGCTGTGTTGTTTTTTCATGATGGACTATATATTTACATAATGTTTTTTAATATATATCTACGATTTATATGTAATACATTTTATAATTGTTACATTATACTATTTAAAAAAAAACTCTCACATGTTTTAAATGCTTAAAATACACACACTCACAAGCTTTAAATTTAAATTAGCGTTGTATGGTGGTTTATATCATCATTTATTTTGTTTACTACTTTTTCTAATATATGGCTGCTTGACTCATATATCTGATGTATTGCCGCTTGACTTATATATCTGTTGTATGG